AGGCTACAATTAGAACAGACTAAGAACAAATAAGAAAAGTGACTCCGAGCAACCTTCAATTAAACTTTGACTATGATACATTATCTGAAGTACTATGGGTATGCAGTACCTCGGAAAAATAACTCATCTCCTGAATACGGTTTGACCAATTACTCTAAAAAAGGTTCAGAAAATTTCAAGCAGTGCAACTGCAAAATATTTCCGTGGAACTCTGACAACCATATATTTTCCTCAGCTAAGGAAAGACTATCGATTCAAGGGGAAGCTTGATTGACTTCGCAGGTAACATCTTGAGAGCCCGGCAATGAAATATAAGTTTTTTTTGTTCTTAGAATCAGGGTGCCGTTCTTGGCATACCACCCATCATCTCTAAGTAATAATCCAGTTTCACAGAGTATCGCATAATAAAAGCTGACTAAAAGTAGGTTAGCCAAACGATCAACGAAATGCATTAATATGCAACAAAAAGAGAACGATCAGAGATCTGTTTCGTCATTTGAAACCAATCTCCCTCTTTCAAGCTACCCCTGTATCCTTCTGTAAAATATCTGTTGCTCTTCAGGTCATAAATTGATCACATTGCCCCTGTGCTATTTGTGGGTATTCGGATCATCTGAAATCCAAAAGATAAAGCAGGAAGACTATCCAGGAAAGGTCAGCTGTAATTTCGGAAAGGTGACTCAGTCCGGTGCCCATTACTCTGTAATTGCGCATACTAAACCCATCGCTATGAGGAGCTGAAATACGTGACTCAGTACCGTACAAAAACTAGAAAAGCTAATGTGAACAGACGTCTTACTTTGTCGCACTGCTATTTAAACTTACTTTGCATTTCGCACGTGTCTCTCAGAGTGGATTAATCACAGGACGTACACAAAGACTTTGTGTAGATTTAACTTCTTATTATTTGGATGCCACCTATTTAAGTTCAATTCATTCTTTGAAATAAGCGTGCGTTTTTGTTACTGGGCTGTGAGAAAAAACATTTTTTATACCACCAATGATTTAACTACGGAATAGCAACAAAGCGTGCTCCGAGATTCATGCTAAACCGATCCCATCTTCAAGTTCTGTATGACACCATTGAGGAAATGACAACCTTTTGCCCTATAGATCTTTTATCCTTATAATGTATTGTATTCATTTCATTATTATATTTTAGTCGGATTCATTGTAGAAGTGATGTAAATGTTCTCGGGCTTTTGCTGTTTCCTACCGAGCTAGCAGTCAGCTTCCATTCCTTTCGTAAAGTTCGTCAGCTAATATATGTATTGCTGATAGAGATACCTGCCCGTCTAACAGAACAAAACCCAGACACCTGTACTAATCATTCATCGAGCGGCTGAAATGTTTTGGACGTTTGAAGACCCCTCATTCAACGGTTGCCAACTAGTTTTTTACCAGAAAGATAAGTCTCAATATTGATACGGATATTAGTGAATGCTAGGGTTTAGAAATAAAAGCAAGCTCAGAATAGGGCTCTGAATCTCCGATTCCAGCCACTGGTCATGCGCTAGAGAAGCATTTGCGCCATAGTGGTAACTTTCAAAATGTTTTTACTTCTCGACCGCATATGAAACTGGGGTGATATCTTTATCACAAACGTTTTTAGATCACAGATAAGGAAATTGGGAATGGGGGAATTTAATTTCGTTCCTAATTGTTAGAGCAGTATTAATATCGAATAATTTTTTGATATGTAATAATTTGATTGTAATAACACATTTGTATAAAAATACACAAACACAATATATATATATATATATATATATATATATATATATATCGCAGAATCAATGATAATCAGTTATCCGTATAGCCTCTAACTTATAATATGTATAAGCTTATAAAATTTAAAAAATTTATCATTTCGCGACATAATTGCTCTGTTTGCGATAGCATCAGCGTGCCACGCTTCCGAGCGAAGATATTTGGGGGGCAGTAGCCGGCTTCAGTGCGTTATAACGAGTCCTATTGCTCAAGTATCACTTCATAAAGTGTCAGTTTACTTAATTTCACTACGTGCACCCGCCAGTACCCCAAAAGCCCAGATCTGTCGAGGGCAAATAGTTAAATCGGCTTTCAGAATCTGCGAATAGGCACTGTAACAGTGCCTACGCACGACCTCCCTGAGATCCCGCAGCGTCAATAGCAGACTGGTCAACAGGACGCTCTATGAAGTGTCTCGATACGCACGCATTTGAGTCGGAATTAAGCAATTTTCGTCATTATCGCTGATATTTCACCGCATAATGGCTTTGGAAAAGCAAGCAACCTATATGAAAGGGAAACAGGTGCACTCTATTTGAACAATATACAGCGAGGTGGTCGAGCTCCGCAGACCTTCGCCCAGCCTAGTTGCTTCGCTATTACTGGTTGGGGTCAAAGGTCCATGTATTATTCGCCTTTCTATTTAGTTAGGATTGCAAAGCTATGTTCGATGTTTTCGCGAAGAAGCCGGTCCAAGAGAACATAGTTAGCGAGGTGGTATAGCAAGAAAAATGGCTTTTGAAGTCGTAAGAAAGATCAAGCCCTTTTTATGTGTAAAAGTCATAAAGGTCGAGCAAATTGGGATCTAGAACAAAAGAAGCTCTAAATCAGAATCAATGGAAGCTCAAGGAATACCAAGACACGATATCTAATATCCACTGAAGCTGAGGTGGCCCAACAGCGAGGTCAGCTTCGTGGGGACTGGTCAGCAGCAGCATCATGCTGCTTCTAAGAATCGTCGTTCGTACATAGCACCCTCCATCGTATCAACGAGCCCCACAGCTACCCTCTTCTACCACGAGCGCCAACGTCCGAGGACTTTGTGTATCACTTCCTCGCAGCGGTGGCCGCTTATAGAATGCCCTCAGGATGCGCACTTTCCCAATGTCATCGCAAGTACAACAGGGATTGAGTTTGGGATCTCGGCTGCACTCCAACAAAACGCTGAAAATTATCCAACGGAATTGCAAGAGTGCCACGAAATTAGCGCTTTCAATGCATACTGGGCATGGCAGAGTATCTAAATCCTCATGCCGACCGAAACTTGAATGACTTGTCCATTTAATATCCTCGACTTCTACGCAGGTCGATTTGCCAGCTCGAGAGAGTGGCGGACCAGGACGTTTTAACGTGATTATAAACCACAGGGGCGTCTCTATATCCAAGATTAGTTGAGGATAACGTTATCGCATTGCGCGGATCGCGCATTCGTAGTACGGCAGCTTATATTCGTCGCTGCGGTATCGACATATGTGCTTACATAGGATCTCATTAAGGTTCTATAAGCATTGTTGCTCTCCTGAATTTGTTCCGTAATCATTGCTAGCCTAGACGAGCCCGACATGAAGCGTGCATTAGCGCTCTGAGACACACCTGCAGATATATAATTGCTAGATCATCAAGCTAAGTTCGGTACCGACGTCTGTGCTTAACCAAGATAAGGTTCGCTTTCTGGATTGAAGCAACTTGCTTGTTGTAGGAACCGGGATGTGTACTAGTGCACATTTCAATTGCTGTAGATCTCGTGGCGTTAGCGGCATAATCTCTGGCCTCTACAAACCAGCCCTGCTGCGATGCCTCGATGAAGCGAAAGTCCTAGAGCGAGAGCTTGAACTCATTCCGGTACTTCATGCTATCGAAATCGTTTGGCCATTTATCCTACCCGCCACCCTCCAAAAAACTCAGATGGTCCCTGACGGCTTGCCCGAAATGCCCAGAACACTTACAGATTACTAGCAGATATACCAGACAGTCTGCCAAATGGCAAACACCACACAAAGTAAGAAATACCTAAACATGTTAGAAAGTTGGCAAATAGCAAAGGCGGCCATGCGAACAGTCAACACGTTGTGAATCAATCGTATGTCCAGCAAACTGTATAATTTTACTGAAATAATTTTAAACACATGCATTCAGGCCGCAGCAGTCATGCTGGAAAGATGCTCCTTTTATAACATGTCTCTAGATGCGTACCTGAATGTAAAGAGCTGTTGTCAGTGGCGTGGCCGACTGCTGCAAATCCTTTAGTGAGTATTCAAAAGTTGCGCTTTGCAATAGCGTAGATTGGATCATTATCAAAATACCGTTTTCTTGCTAGATGTGTTAACATGTACCAAGTCTATTTGGATTGTGCGAATTTAACGGTTAACGTCGTTTACTCGCTTCGGTTTGCTTCATTCGTCCACTGTTAAACCAATAGCTTCGCCTATATTTCTCAGTGTTTTTATTGGTTATCAACGAAATGCAATTGAACTCTTGTTGTTGCTTCTCAATTTTTTAGAGTGTCACTCGATGTGCTTGTTCGAGTTTTAGCAGTAGATTTTCGGGCTCGCCAGCTGAGGCGCTGCCTTCACCCTTCGTCAGCGTCCCTGGCCCAGTGAGCATAGAGAATAGTCAACAGCTACTACTTCTCCTCGAGCTAGTGTCGTGCTCTCGTCGCCCTACGCTGCCATTCCTGGAAATTCGACTTTTTTTTTCCTCATTTCGTTTATGGTTGTTGTCGCGCCCGCTTTAACAGCTACTTACATCCAGCAATGCGTCCATGCGCACATCTAACAGAACCTCTTTGTTTCGACTTTTACGTCCGGTATCGCCATTGGGCACTCCATCAAAGAGACGGCTGGCTGGCTGGCTCCCAGCACGAAACGAAGCCTGCCTGTCTATGCTCGGGTTCGAACCTAGACCATAACATGTGTCCAAGCTTAGCACGCAAACACATTACCCACTAAACTTTCACGGGGTACTAACAGACCCACATAAAATTGCCGCTATCGTTACTGAACCAAATGCAAGTATTGCAAAGGACGCCGAGGCGACATGTCTGTCGTCCTGCCGAGTTTATTACTCACTTCTTCGATTGGGTTATGCCGGTCCAGCAGTTGCTGCCGCTACAGCTATAACCAACTGAATCTATCTATAATATTATATAAATAGCTTTGACTTTTCATTTACCTGCTGAACGTCTGGTTGCCGGCTGGTGCGCCTGCGATGGGGGACTCTGCTGGCGGCAGCCCACGGACCAACGGACTGGTCCTAGCGTCATGGCCTGATGAGCTCGCTTTCTGTGTATGAGTGCATCGTAGCACCATGAATCACTTTGGTAAGTTTGTTTGCTTGAATATAGAAACGTTTTCTTCGTTGTCATCGCTTGGCGATCGGTAGGTCTGTCAGATGTTTTTTTATTGTTTGTCTCTGTGCTCTGCAGTAACAATATTCTGCATGATGTCAAATGTGACTCGCTCGTTCAGGGAATACGCTACGTAATTAGCAGCGTAGTAAGAAAACAACAAAGCTATGTATGTCACCAAAGAACAAATACAAAGCTATCGATACCCTTACAACATTCAAAAACAGTCAGATTCACACATTCCTAAAAAATATATAATATAGATGGAGTACAATTTGCCAAGCGTATGGTGCTTATAGCAAACAAAGTCACTCCAAGCAATTCGTAAGTTAAGAATCTTTTAGAAACGGAGAACAAATCGATTTGTAAGATAACTTGACATGTATGCACGACTCTTATATTTCTTTAGGTTGCAGCAACATTTCCAGTAATCGGAATATCGAAAACCGCGTGGCCTGAATCTTTTGGCATAGAAACAAAGATAAAAAGTTGGATTTATGTACCATACATTTCATTCATTAGCTTTCCACATTCGAGAGTTCCACATTTCTTGAAAATTAAAAGCTGAACTGTAAAAATGAGCAGATAGAATAATAATAATCTTCATTTCCAAGAAGATTATCGTCGAAAGTTTCACGTCCGAAGGAAAAATTGTTGAATGGACCTGCTGTCTTTTCGATAGGTCAATGAGTCAGCGTTTGGCCTGTGACTGCATAGAGTATAGTAGCTGGTATTAACATCACTCTGGCAAACCACACGCCGCTTTTGACTCGAGATGACGCTACAAGCCAGTCAAGCCCACTGAACCTATTGTTCATTGTCAGGGATGGGTGCGCTTCTACGAAATGTGCTCTTGTCAATCTAGAATCGTCAGCGTATTCTCCACTGGTTTGTTAATTATTGATAATGGTGACCGCGTGAGGCATCGGTCTCACCTCTTCATCGCGTATTTACCAAAAAGAATAAAAGCAGCGGCTTGGCAACTTGTTTGTTCTTCGACGGCGAGGATGGCCACCGATGTCGATCTGAGTCGCTTCTCTGATCGGTAACATGTCATAAAAGAATCATGACAGATGGTTGACAAAGTAAATAGGCAGCAAAGCATGGCACTCGTTCTATCTGCTTTATTTATTAGAACATTTTTTGCCAGCTTTTAACGTTCAAGCCTAATGATTTTGTTATAACTGCGCCTGTGGATTAGACGTTACCTCTTGTATAGACTTATAATAATAATTGACAACAATAGCGGTGGTCATACTGGTAAAGTGATGCTTAGAATATAAAGTTAGCGTTGATTGATTTCTCGAATAGAGAGGAAGCTTGGTCCTGAACAGAAACGGTCGGGTTGATGAAATGCCTGTTGCAATAAAGCTAGGCCAAACCCAGAAGGACCTGTTTACTGTACACACAAATTGAATCGTCATTGGCCCTATGCGGCCAATTTTGCAATCGTCAGATGATGTTAGGCATCTGTATTTGATCCGAATGAGAAGATACTTCAATTAGAACATATTTGATTTCAGCCTTAATGCTCCACAGCATACTTTTGATTTGCCGTATACTATCGTGGTTTGGTCGTCAAGAGTTTTTTGTTCAATTATATATCAATTATGTAGCCAATAAGCAATACTAAATCTTTTCCGTAGTTAATGATCTGGGGCGGGCGGGGGGGGGGGGGGGGGTCTATCAGTTCAAAGGCACGGATTATCGTTTGTACCGCGAACCAATACGATGATAATCGTTGTGTTCGGGCAGCTAGCTTAGGACCCTATCGAGCCAATAAGAAGGGAAACTCTTTTATTCAGGCAAATGTTATTTACATTTACACATAAACTGTCGAGCGGGACATCAAGAGTGGCAAAACATGTTAATATTTATGCACTCTGCACGAATGGATTACATGCTACGAGCGGTCTGGCCTCTCAGATTGGATACTTAGCAATTGTTCACATCGAAAGCAATCCAGGCGAGACCTACACAGGACCAGTGTCGCCTATCGACGCGATGCACCCATGTAAAAATGTTGAATCGAAGGGGCATCACACGGAGTAGAATGGCTGCAGTGCGCTGTGATATCCGTCCGTAATCACAACTTAATGTGTGCACCTTTTCCTGCAGTGTTTGTCTTCTTCGTTTGATCTTGTCGGAGCCTCTAATCCGTTCCAACTTATAGATGTGTTAAACAGCTAGCAGACTTCTAGGATAGCATTCACCTATCTATCCTATAACTCCATTAATACTCGGCGAAAATTTGAATATCAATGCTTATAGAATATTGTGTACAGTTAGTCTTATTCGATTCGATGCTATGCACATTGTTGTTTAGTGTGCTTGGCGGCGTCCTGGGTTTCGCCAAGCGTGCTGACGTTTGAGACCTGGGTTCGACTGGTCAACAATAATGGTAGAAGGAATAGTGAAAGGAATACGGAAAGTAAATCGGTGATTCAGCATCACGTCTATCGAGTGAACAAGTCGTCGAAGTTAGGAAATCAATTGTAGGTACGCTTCACAGCACAGTGTGAGCTGTTGTCCCCACAGCATGGTAGTGTACGAGCAAACACAGTAAATTTGAGTTCTGTTTACGTTCTCTGCTCGCAATACTTGAACCCGCACCCACGTTTTTCATAATGGAAGGAACTGAGTTATCGAGGTCATGGTACAACTAAATTTGGTAGGTTTCGAACAACCGTTGCAGTGAAGAAAGAAGCATCTTTGCGTGCATTTTATGTGATTCACTGCTATGTCCTTTGCAGCTGAGTGTTGCATAGGAGGGTGACGTCGCAAGAAGACCTCCAAATGCCCACACTCTTCAGTTGTTCTATAATATTTTGCTATTATTACGAGTTGTTCTGAGCGTATGCGAATTAAAACGTCGCATAAAAGCAACTCATGAAATAAAGCTCTACATATCCAAATCCTGTTTATACACGAAGATTATTCGCGCTGGAGGGTGATGATTGTATAACGTGTCATTGCCGTCTTAACCGATAACAGATGGCCGACACTTGATTCGATTGTGGTACTACTGAGTCTTCGTTGTAGACCATCCTCGTCTAACCCGTTCGACCCAGCTTACCGCCATGTTGCTGTACCTCGCTATTGGTGCGTCGCCCATAAACGACAGCTTATTTGATTTCGAATCACGCAAAGGCAGCAGCATCCGTGATAGCAATAGCAAAGCAAGCGAAAACAGCCCTTATTCAACAAAAGCTAGTTGCCCACTTGGAGGCCAGAATGCCGTCTGTGGATATTCTCATACGAGTTCATCCTCCACCTTTACCTTGTCCATTATCTCCTCAACCCCTGGTAAAAAATGCGTATCACAGTGACTATCTGTCTCGACATGTCTACTTCGTCCTCTAAACGGACTAAGGCCGCTGCTATTGCGGCGATCGCTTAGAATATCCATACGTAAAGATTAGGTAAATAGATTCGAAGGAACAACGAGGCGAGTAATGATAGGCTGGTGGTCAAGCGATGCTGCTAGTGGGAGCCTTGTGCGGCCAACAAAGCTATAGCTAATATAGCCAGATTTTTCGGTATACGATGAATGGACACACACGGATGAAGGGATTAATTGTCTACTCAGCGATGTTTCTTCAGTTCGGACTGGGCAGGTCTTTCTCCAACCTGGTTTTGCCTTTATCCACTCAGAGTGACAGCACAACGTGGAAACTTTGCGCTTTTTTGTCGTTCTAAGCACAAGCACATGCTACGTTTAGAACTACAAACCAGCCGACAAGACTGAAGTAATGCCTTGTATTAAATACATCTAGGTATAAGCAGCCACTGGCTAGCGAATATGTAGGGCTTCGGAAATGGAGGTCATTTTGCACAGCGTGCGTTTATTAAAGATATATCAAACACGTCATTCTTATCACTGGCAATGCTTTCAAGATTGCTAAGTAAAGGCGACACATAAATAGTGGAAAACGGTTTCCATATCATCGAAGCGAGTGGCTTTTCTCTATTCTGCAGTAAAATTTCACATATTACGAAGGGCAGCCCAATTTCCACAAGATATTCGAACTATGTTATGAAAAATGCAAAAGAGTTCGAAATAATAGCCTTTATTGAAGCAGAGATAATGATTTCAGTATTTCAGGAAAGAAACTTTACTAATTTTACCCTAGGTTATAAGAAATCTGTGAAGATGCGAGTATATTGAGGTGTCTCACACCAGGACCCGTAAGGCTCACTCTGAAACCAGCTGTTTTATTATTGTGAATATATATGAACGAAATGATTGATTGGCGGCTTTTTCAAAATACAGTTAATCTTCTATGCGTATAAATACGAAGTGATCACTTTTTAGCCCGCTTTTTCTTGGTCCGATCTAAGAGTCAACAGTGAAATACATCATTCATATGTGTTAGACAGGCCAGATGCCTCGTTATCGACCACTGCGATCATGTCGACGAGCAATTGCTGCTGTTGTGAGAGGTTGACGTGAGCGTGGACGGCCGCCTTTCCTAACGGCATCACCACGCCGGCAGCGGCTAAAAATATCATACGCATAAGTCGCAACAAAACACATGCTCTAACCGCTGAACCGACAGAAACCTCCCTATCTTCCTGTAATAATTAGATTGCGGGAAGTAGCAGCTTCGTCCTCATATGCCCATTATCAGGTGAACTTCAGTAGGGTCTGTTCTTATTACCGAGCTCAGAGGCAATATTTCGACTATTGCTAATAATATCATCACCGCAAACTATAAACAGTATTGTGACCGCCACGCGTAGTTGTTGGCTTCATGTCGCCGTAAAAACAGCATTTCTGGCTTGTTGATTCTAATATAAACCTGGTATGAAGCTAATACTAATCCCAATTTAGGCAAAGTAATTATTTGGGACTAACAGGGTGCAAATGCATAGTCTTTAAATGGCAAAACGACTTTGAATATAATCTTAGTTGGAAAAAGCCTGACACCACTTTATCCGCTATATATGTATACGTTCATACATTATAATTGTACTCTCCAGTTTATAAACATTTAATTAATGAATATATTCATTAGTATCAATACGCGTTGTATGGAAGTTTTTTTCTTAAAATCCACCAATGTGACTCTACAAATAAACTGACTTTATCATCTGATTGTATACCGTTTCAGGTTTGACCGGTTCATTTTAGCGTGGGGGTGACGTTACCGTTAACCGGCAGCTCCATTTTTGGTGCTGTTTTGCTTTCACAACGTCGAGGCGATGAGGGAATTCTCAGACGAATCGCTTGGGGGGGAAGTTCCCCAAGGGGCGTCGTCAATGGTGGGACCCCCAGCTCCACCGGGTGCGCTCGGTCCTTCAGTGTGCCCCTTTTCGGGTAACTTCTTACATCTTTCATTTGATTATCTCCGATCACTTTAGAAATCTTGTCACTGTTACTATATTTCTTTGTACACGACACTTGGTGTGCGGTACACAAAATCGGTCATGCTTCGATGTCTGCATTTTATTGTATGTAGTATCTATATACGTATAGCCTAGCTTACCTGACTGGCTTTGGTCCGCCTAATGACGAAGCTTGGCAAAAAGAGTTAGCTATCGAAATAAATCTTCTGTGTGGATCATTGTCTTTTACTTTACCTATAGAAAAATGTTATAGTTGCTCATAAGCAACAATACACGTCAATCTATCTCTGTATAATGAACAGGTCGGCCCTTATCAATTGCTTCGACTTCATCAACTTCGACAACAAGTAGCGGATCTAGTACAACCACTTCGCCCGGTTTCCATGCGAGTCACAGCAAACGCTCTGGCAAGCATCATTCCTCCAGTTACCTAGCCAGCGCCGAAAGTCTCCAGGTCAGATTATCAGAATTAGAGTGACCTATGAAAACCTAATTTTGTATCTATACTATCCATATTATAGCGCACAAGGCTGTTCTGTTGTATTTTGTGTACGTCTACACCCAAATAGAAGACCATAATGTCGCATGAAACAAATTTAATCAAATGTTTATCTATCGTTCGTTTACCTGCAGCATGATAGTTCTCCTAGAGCCACCACTTAATTGCGAATTCTCCGTAGCTCCCCGAATTTTTGGCGGAACAATCATCTGTATCCAAGCTAAATATGCCGATAGAATACATAGCAACGTAAAGTAGTAACAATTTTTCCCTTTTATCTCGACATCCATTGTCCTTTATTTACAACCTTTATTAAAAACGCTAGGTTAGGCCTTGTCTATATCTTATAGTTGAGTAATTTTTCATTCCAAAGTTTACATATGCTACTTACTCAAGTATCGATCTTAAAATAGGAAATATGCTTAAATAAATCCATACAGTCGACTGATATCAGTTTAGTCAATTGTACAGCCGACTAATGATTTTAACAGGAATATTTCGTTTTTACTAAATGTAAAATGTGTGTAATCTGTTTCCGTTTTTCAAATCTAAAAGAAATAGGCTAGACGCTGAGTCGGTAAAACTTTTTATTCAATATAAACGTTTTTTTTTTTGATATTTCAATATACTATATTTCGAGCTTTTACGTATTTCGGCCATTTAAACGGGTCCTGTAGAAAAAGTTTGGCTTTTTGCCTAGCGGGAGTTGTGTCCCTGAGCGTCGTCGTGGAACGTTAAATATACGGCAAGATCAAGTCGAGCTTCGATTCGGAGGTTAGTGGCACAGAAAGTGACTGCCCTTACCAGATGGTACGGACAGAGACAGGTCGGGTTCTGAAGCTAGAGCACGGCCTAAACACTCATCTTATGACCGCCTCGATTCAAATGCAAAAAAGTAGCGTGATTGTCGATGATTTAAACATGTCTAGTGTTGTAATGCTAAACCAACCACTGATAAGTAATTGTCTGTTTACATGTGTAAACATTACACCATTGTCAACAAACTTCGTGCTAGTAGAAACCTACGCCATTTATAATAAAAAAATATTATACAGTCTATCTGAAAAATCCCCGATAGAAGTGGTGAGCTGTACGCCGATACAGGATTGTTATCCAGAGCCCAGGCCCTATTTTTCTAAAGCTTAAGCCTATTTTGATGGATAGCATAATGCAATCGTCTTAAAAATGTTTAATAATACTCCCTCGTAAAACTAGAAAAGTTCGAAATGAATTCATAATGAACAGCTTAACTTTTGGCCTAGATTTTGTAGCCTTTTTCGGCCCAGGCTTGCCTGGGCGCCAAAAGCGATATTTAAATCATCGTGCGTCTTTTTTGACGTCACATCCATTCATACAAGTGCGTTAAAGAAAATCCGGTTTTTCTATGAGTGCGTTGATGTTCTCCTGCGTCAGTTGTTGACAGGTCTGCATTTGCTCGAAATTCAACTCCTTTGGCACAATCCTTGTCGTGAGCCTTCTTACCTCCGAATGATCTCCGAAGAGAGTTCGACATGACTTTTATAAGATGTTGTACTCTTACGAATTCCCTGAAGGTAATTCGGGAATGTTCCACCATACGTTATTTTGCCTTTCTTTCCGGTATGTATTTCCGTACTCTCTATGACTCTTTACAGAGAACGAGGAAGGGCAAACGATCTTAACTAGTAGCACTAAATTATAATAATGGAAATAATTATTATACATTTGCATCGTTAACTGCAGCTATCCAGCTATTTTGGCTTGGCGTCCAAAATCAATGTCCATGTGCGTTTTTTTTTTATACTTCCCTTTGCGTTTCAATGATAGCAAACATATGACGCTATCGTTAGAGACGCTTTTTAAAATTGCTATGGAGGGAAAAACATTCTTAAGGCTAATATTCTGATTTCCTTACATTTTACCACGATCACCCCTGAAACTGGGATCGGCGTCTGCAGGCACAGACTTGAAGTACTGTATACATGACTTGTGAGATGTCCTTGATTTCTTATCTGGTCCTCATTCATCCTTTGACACAATGCCGTACACTTTTGACCAGATTCAAGTCGAGCGAATTTTCAAGCGTTGGTAGAACCTAAAAACAGTTAAAGGTAAGCTCTTTAAAGGCACACTTCGCCCGATGATATGGTGACTTGTCATACTTAAATACACAATTTCCATCCGAAAGCATTCGTTCATATAGTCTATCGTGAAATAGCATTACTTCACTGAGCCGTCGTTTCGCATCATCACGCTGCTGAAACGTAGGATGGAAATCAGGGCCGACACTTTTGCTGGGATGCTCGACATACTGGATTACACTGGACTCGCGTAGGGTTTTGCGCTTGTAGACGCGTTGAGCGTTATGATATAAAATTTACAAATGCGTTTCGCTTGAGAAGCAAACCCTTTTCCAGTTCATAGCTGTCCAACATTAGAATTGTTTGATCTATTTGAAACGCGCATATTTGTGTAGAGAGCCTAGCGGAGGTTTTTACAGCTGTTTTACGTTAGCTAAGGCCTGTCATTTCAATACGATGTCGGAGGGTTCTTATGAGCGCAGTACCCCACGCTCTGCTACCCTGTGACACAACTGAGAAGCCGTCGCAAATCGAGCGTTTTATAGGGCAGTTATTCTCTGTGTCCTCGTGGTCGCCTAATGGGTAACGCCTTCATCTGCTAATTTTAGGGACACACTCTAAGTTCGAATCCGCGGATAGACACAGTTTTTCTGTCCACCTGATGGAACTATGCCTAACAGCGGTGCCGGACGTAGAACTCGAAACACAAATCTAACGATCCTCGCTGCTCGCTGCATTGTGCACCGTTCTCGGCTTTTGCTTCCTATTTTTCCTGAAGACGTAGGCATCTCATCCTTCCTTTATCTTTCGAATTACCTTGTCCACTGCATGCTTCAGCACTCCAACCAACTCATCAAATTCTCGGTTTCTGTTCTCGAATGCGTCCTTGAAAGTCTAGTTTGACGAAAGAGTCCGCTGCTCTTCCGTGAAGCATTTTTGCAATCCCCATACGAGTTCATACATTGTCACAAAAGCAGGAAAACAGTCGAAATGCGTTCCAAAATAAGCTTCGTACGTATCATAAAAGCCTCGAAAGACATCGGTAATGCGTATGTATATTAGTAATAGTACGTACATAAATAATAATAATAATACAATGTCACTCACCAGATTTCTACTAAAATAGATATAATATTTACTCTTACATGTGTAATTCGAATGTGCCAATGTAATGAATATGAAGGCGTCATCGAAGGGCAGTATTATAGAGCGCTAAGGTCAGGCTCTCAGGGATCCAATAAAAGTGTGGAAGAACCATTTTTGTTTGTTGCTCTATTATCCTTTTTACTATTTCCTAGTTATACTGTTTCTTTGCGTGCTCCAGACTCGGGGTCATGCTTTATGTAACGTCTGTTTTATAAAGGTTTATCAGTGAATTTCAATGAAGCCACCGAATTAACTAATTGCAAGTAATAATAGATACCTGTTTGCATGCGTACAGGATGGTTCCGTTTGTTTGAGTGGAGGTGCAACCATCTCAGACGATGAAGCAGAAAGCTCCTCCGGAAACGGAGATCGCCTTCTTCGGTACACTGACAACGTCGTCCATGAACTGCTTGAAACCGAACGAGCCTATATCCACGATCTCGCTGCTGTGATACAGGTCAGTCTAAGGCGTTCCTACAATTGCCTAACCTTGCTCTATTGCTACATGTTTGTAGTGTATTGTAGAAAAGGTCATTCCAAAAACTTTGTATTTACATGTACAGTTGCATCTTTTCTAAATTTCAATCAATCTTGCTAAATCGGGTTTTTTTTTTCTACGACTAGTAACAAGAAATGGTACTGTTCGCGTAGCGAACGCGAAATGTGTGCCCGTCATCCGTGTGTCCATCGATACTGTCTCTCTCCTCGTTGAATGCGTGTAGCGCTCTTCGCGATTGAGAATGTTCGATTGGCATACCATAGGTATTATACCCGAAAACTATGACAGCCATAATTGTTTGGGCTCTTTGTGGGCATTCTCTGACCAACAAAAGGCCGCTAAGGCTGCTTCTACTAGACGTAGTTTACGGTAGGTCGCGCTGTAGGAATGCTCATAGGCAACTACATACTGTCGCGACGGTCACGATGAAGTTCGGAATTGCAGGGTGGAAGACTATGTTAGACCAAGAGTACTTGTTTGGGTACGATTGTCTATAAGTACAATATTTTCGAGGCCATAGCTGTCAACATCAATTGAATACCGCGCAATATTCGTCCGCTTCGTTCATTCGACCCTCTTTCATGAAGCCCTAGCTAGAGATTCAAAAACCCGGTGGCAGCGGTTTCTGTTTCAGTTCAAGTACAATACTATCAGCTGTTGAACTACGGAAATTGACAAAGCGAAATAATGTGTAGTGATATGAGAAGCGTGGTCGGCGCTACTGACAGACGCTTTGGGGGCCAATGTCGCCGCAGTGCAGTGACGCCGATCATTTTAAACGTAAAGGCAACGCTAGTCTTGTAGGCTTCACCATTGCTACGGCTTTGCCTTTGTTATCACGTTTTCTACAGAGCATATCTGCGTGAGGTGTACAGAGCGTTCGAAGCTGTTAAGATCAGTTTCTTACATTTCCCTGAGGGATCGATCGGTTTGTCGAAAAAGCTGCGTTTAGCCCGCGCCTTTCGCGGTGCCTCGCGCACTTCCAGTTAGCGAGAGTAAAAGTGAATACTGTTGCCTTCAGATGAAAACCATTTCGAAATCTTTCTGTTGCGCGAGTTTGATACTTGTATTCATGGTTTAGAGCAGACTACCGACTTCATTGATTTCAGCCTTCTCCTAGTACATATTTTAGAATAGGTACGATGAAGATATCAGTCAAAAAATCCGCGTAAAATTCTATAAAACTAGCTACTATCATGTTCAACTTATGCTGAATGGTAACGCTGTTCCCTCAATCAGCTGGAGAGATTTCTAGCCATACTAATCAGGTAGACACAAACTATATCCAAATAGCATGCAATACCTATTCCATGCTCAAAATCTTATCCCGAGGGATCTTTAAAGTGTAGGTGTAATTATAAAAGGGTGACATTCTATTAAAGTAAAAAGACGTGCGTATCTAAAGGAAGCGTGTGACTTTTCCCACAGTTCTTTCAAGTGTCCCCTAGTTGTTTATTGTAATATATATTGAAAACGTTAGTAGACTTTGTAAATGTAGTAGTAAATAGTCCCATACGCTTGTACGTTTGGCGGCACAAGTTGAATAGTTTAACCGTCCACTATATTAATAAAAGTTGAATGATCAGCTGTCATTTGGGCACTTTAAATTATTCGGCCTGTTTCCTATTGGTCTCAGTTGAAGCCAAGAGATCGTGGCGCTAACAGTCTTATTTAAACTGGTGCCAGAGGTCGCTAGCGGAAAGAAGGCTGGATAGAACTACTAGAAGAAAAGAATAACATGTCTCCCTATCTAATCAGGGATTTACCCTATTCCTGTTTATATGCAGTAAATGTTTAGATGAGACAGCTGGTACTTGAGCTGCCGTACGTATAGTTGCTGACAGTTAGACGCTGTTCACGTCGTCGGCTGCGGTCATTTAGCGTTTCCTGCTCAGAAGACGTCGTCTGAGAGCAAACTTAATGCTATGGAGCCGTGAAGGAACAGCGAATCAACATCGCCACGCAATTCTGATGGTTCCGAAGACGACAAAGAGACGTCTTTTCTTAGTAGCGATGTTATTATTCGGTTAAAAACTGCCACGTAGATCTCGGCATATGATATGAGGCAGATTTGGGTGTTTCCATCGAAAATTTCCCACAAATATCTTCCTTGCCTTTTTATAGGTCGAATTGATATTTAACAACTGTCAATAGTAATCAACTCCAACCAAAACCAATTTTCTGAAACTCGTTATGAGCATGTTTTAACCTAACATTTCTTATTATGTGAATATTTTTTTTTTTATTATGAAATCAAAAGCTGATCCAGTTAAAAAAAAAAAAAAAAAACTTGATTTTTTGTGATATTTTACTGTCTCTGTGCAGAGATACCGCAGCTGAGAACCCTGTGCCTTTTGATCTGCTGCAAGGCACTGTAGCTTCCATGAATCTTAGACCGTGTATAGGTCTGTCACAGGACTTAGATGGTCTAAATCGTTTGTCGCTTTTTTGGCGGTCAAGGTGAAGACCTACATATGGCGTACTCTAGGATATCTCGATAAGGTGCCTGTGTGGTCACTCCTTGAAGAGCTCGCTGGCCGACCCGGCAAGCATTGAGGTGGACGTCTCAAAACTGTTTTCCACTTTGGTAGCACAAACTTGTGATTCATGCCCAGTGCCATGATCGTGCAGATATAAAGAAAATAGGGCAGAGAAATTGGACTCTGAAACTTTGTTTTTGTGTGGTGTCTTGCAAAAATATTGCTTAAAGAGATTGGAATTGAATATTGACTGCGTCCACGCTGGTACATGCTGCATACTGATTACAAAAATAGCCATATTTTACAGATGTGCCCCTTCTATGTTGGCTTTCGTGTACATTAAATGCTGCGTGCGTTGGCTAGATATATGTATGGAAAATAAACAGTGTAGTGAAACCCCGTAAGGCTGGACTTGTTAAACCACAAGCTATCAAAATTTTACTTTTGCATAGATACAGAGGTGAATATTATTTCCTAAAATGTTTATCTTAAATATGGGTTTGGTCGTAGCCTTTGCTGTGCTGCATATATGAGCGCTACAAGAGAACAAAAATCTGTCAGAATATATAAACAATGCAGCTCTGGCTGATAAAGATACGAACACTCTAAGTAAAAACAACGAGCTTCTTTGTTGCTTAACCTCTATTGCGCACAGAAACGACCTAGGCGTACACCTCGGCGCCTTGACAGCTGTTTACATACATGCCTGACCAAGGTGCTGACTTGGCAGCGGAAGTAGCTGATTTTTTGCTCTTTTGAGGTAGTGTTTGATGTTCAGGTATGTGCATAGTATTTGGTCTTCAATCCTAAATCGACAATTTGTGCTAAGATCATTATGTAATGGTATGTATCATACAAACAACTATATCTTTATCATATATCATCGTAATTCGTCGTAGCTATCGTATGATGCTATTGTTGTTCCACTCTTGTTTTGCCCTACGCTTAACAACCTTCTCGGAAGCCCTGGTTAATTTTTTACGGAAATTAACACAACAACAGCCCAGCGGACAAGCATGGCATCTTGTCCGCCCTATTTGCTGCTGCGTGCACGCTTTGTTGTCATGAGTCAACGCGAAATGTGTTTTTGCTTGCGTGCTGCATCTGCCACATACTATGATAAGGCAGTCCTATTTTTTTTGCAAGTAACCTTATATATAAAATGGCTTTATTTTCGCCCGAGTTCTACGAATTCGTGCATAGTACTTAGTGTTTATCTGAGCAATAGATGGGCAACACTTTTGCGAGGTGTGTTTTGGAAGTGCGTGCTCATACCCAATTCAGCGCAAATGATGACAACGTCTGGTTAGAAATTACGATACGATAAAAAGCATATTAAATGGGAAATAGGTAAATGTAGACATCGTTGTAGTAGCTTATGGGACTCACATCGGTTCATGCTGTGGGCGTTAAGAAAAAAACCTTAGTATTTATTATATATTTAACGGTACTGTAACTATTTGATTGCCGGCTAGGATCCCTGTGTGGGCGAAACTCGTTGTTGCTAATGTGGCTGCGTGAGCAGATTAGTACGAAGGCTTCTAGACACTTGTCCAAACTTTTACTATGCAGAGATATACATGCTCATGGGGAAAACTACAGACGATTCGTGAGCGAAACAGAGTAGCGATCTAGGTTCTCTCTTGCTCCCTTGTCATCCGTAGACATTTCGTAATCGTAGTAACACTTGAATACGAAATAACCGATTGACTATGTTAAAACCAGACAAGCAGACGATCCTTCAGACAACCTTGTCTATGGTTGACTGTATATTTGCCCATAGTAAACATTGCGAGAACGAAGGGTAAGTTAAGCAACACCGTGTGGCTTCGTTTTGGAGATGATTGACGATTTAAGTGACGTTTACGGTATCGAGACTGGGCGTTTTTTCGGTGTGAATCATAGATGAAGAGCGTTAGCGAATAAGTAAAACAGGTAATTATTTGGGGGATCGGGAACGAAAGTTTTTGATATTGCACGAATGAAGACCATTCAGACTAAAATCGTAAGACATTTTGAGAAAGATTTTTCGCCAGTGTTTGCTTTGGATGTTTAGTACATACGACGCGATTTTCGCGTACCAAAAGAATTGCTATCTTAAAGAAATCTACAAGGTTTGACAATGTAACGTATGATACTGTTATGATTTACTAATTCCTAATTGAATCAGACTTTAGGAGATACGATCGGAAAAGCATCCCTACTGTCGGTTTACGATCTATTTTTTAAATCTTGCCTGTTATTGTTTCTTGACAGGCTGATCTAGTTATAATCAGATGAACAAGTATGTGGTATCAGGGCATTCATAATTAATAATAACTTAACACTCAGAGTAATGTTGCTAACGATAGCGAAATATTTAGATTTTTTTCGCAACCAAAAACAGTCGATAAGTAAGCCGATTTTTGTGCACAGTGATTTTTTTTTTTTATTAATCTCGCGCGTTCGAGTAAAGGCCCAGTTGTTATCATTGGCTATTGCTAACTAAAATAAGATACAAACGTATATACTATTTGTTACTAGGTTACCTAGAAAGAAGTAAATGAGACATATCCACACAACGATCTGCACCTAAACACCAATCAACTGGCGTCACTTCAAGCCGTGTTGAGCTCAGGAACTTCTGTCCTAAACTATGAGTTTAGGATTCATATAAGGGGCATTCACAGCCTGAATTTCAGCAAGAGATGCAAACGTAGAACACTCTAGGAAAAAGTGTCTTGTCGGCCTGCTTGAAGCGTAGCCAATATGAACGGCAACAATGTTTTGATCCGCCTGGGTCGGTGTCCGACTTGATATACGGTAAGGTATCTGTTTTCCTAAAAAACTGGTAACCCCTAGACCTGTTCTACTTCACATCGTAACACGTGGGTACCTCGTATCTTTGGTAGGTGTAGCTCGCGTCGAAAGAATAGGACTCTGAGGGTCAGCCTGGCACATCCCATCATCACTCACCTAAGAGATAGGCCATCAGATAATGATGGTGCACGTATTTCTAGGGCAAACATAAAATAAACTCCATTTATATGTTTCTGCTATGAACATTGAGTGACTCGAAACGTGAATGCAGTCTTAAAGACATACTAATGCGTGGGATGTTACATATTGCGTGATAATTTTTTTTTCTCAGCAAAAGTTTTCTGCTATCTTACAGTTGTAATGTTTGCATAGTTCATTTATGCAGGGTAAACTTATGTGCTATAGCAAACATCGCTATAGTTACATGAGAACACTTTTATGTTATGGAATGAAGTGGAATGTCGCCACTATTAGACGCCCACTTCTTTTATTGGCGGATTGAAATTTTGCTGCCACCGCCATGATCTTGAATTTGACAGTCCGAGATGTTTTGGCGATTGGCTGTAACCGGTGTGTTAGAACGTAGGGGGATTTTGAGCGTACACGCGCTATCAAAGCATATAACGTGATGACGGCCATTTCGGAGCGAGAGAATTCCGGTGTTCAATAGCACACCTAACGGCTGTTGATAGGTGAGCAGTAGGAGCGTAGGGGCAGGAACAGGTCATCTAACTCGAGCGTGAGAAATAGATAGCAAGGAGCGGTTGGATAAATAACATTAGTGGATCGTTACGACGATTACGAGCACAACCCACGGCAAGAGACGCGTTGGACTTACGGGTCTATGCGTTTCTACATACGGCGGTCGATGATGTAGGATGTTATTGACTGAAGGGAAAGTCGAACAAAACTTTAGAATTGGTTGAAAAAGGTGACAGAATGACAATTCCCCTTCCACTCCCGAATTGCAGTCGTCTGCTTCCAGTTTTATTGTCCTAGTTGCGTCATCTACCTATGACACAGCTCTCACAGCAGCGGCGCTTGTTGAGGCTCATAATTGTTCCGTTAGTTCCGGAGCTGTTGTTCGCTGAGCGCTTTTGTGTGGCCCGTACTAACACATGTGTTGATTCAATAAGATATAGAATCGTTTGTTAAGCTGACAGTGTCGCAATTAAAAGCAATTTTTTGACATTTGGCATACACATAACTCGACCTTCTGTTTGTCTTATATAACATATTGATTGTAGAGAGCAAGGAGTGCTATTGTGTGATACCGTCATCTAGTGGTTCACGTTTATTCTGATCCTCGGTGGTTAGCTTGTATTGCCGATGTTGTTTGATGAGAAAAAATTTTCGCACGTTCTCCCTTTCGCGAAACGTGTTGGTGTTTGTAAATCATAGTATATTTTATATTTGAAGTCCTTGTACATCGGTGTACATGTACACATTTATATAATAGCCGTAGTAATAGAATGGCATTGAGCATCATTCAGCCATGTTCTGGTCACGCTGTATATTTTTGCCAGTAAATTTCGATTGGCAACGTTAATCACTGTCTGATGAAGACCTGTTGAAGGTCAACTCGCATCTCTATGCCCTGAAAAATACTGAATGGAGATGGAATGATGAAATAATGATGGAGTTTCTTCTTTATGCAGGTCTTCGTTTTTACCGTAGGCCGTAAGTTTGACCGCTGAGGGATGTGTTGCTGCTATGGCAAGAAGCGTAGTTTAAAAAAATGTTAGTTTTTTATTAGTTTGTACCTCTAAAGATATCCTGGAGGTTAACATTACTACTATTATTATTACTGTATTAATCATGGCAGGTGATAACGCTTCGATGTTCGGAACATGTCCAATGATAGAACTAAACAGATAATCGTCTCGCTTTTCAGGGTTACCTGCGGCCTATGCGCGAATGTGGGGTACGTGAGGGTTTCATTAATGAAAAGGACCTCCTCGTTCTTTTTGGGAATCTTGATGAAATTCTCGAATTTAACAGGTAAGTTGTTATCAATTATTAATTTGAAGACGGTGTCGCATTTATCTAGGTATGTTAGGATTACATTGACAAGTTCAAAAGGGATATTGTCTTGGGGAAAAGAAGGGGGAGTGAACTTTACATTTTCAGACCGGCACACACTATGCGGCTGGATTGTTTCCAATAACACGGTACAATGTAAGGTTGCGATAGATATTACAATCGTTTTAGATATTCGGATTGAGTACACCTAAAAAATCATCTATTATATTAGATCGCAAAACGAACATTAAAACATATTCTGCCAATAATAAATTTAATCAAAGAAAAACTAGGTGTTTATAGGCAAGCTAGCAGAATTTGAAGTAGAAAGCAAGACTGCTATGGTCGCATATCTCTGCCGTAACTATGATTTGGTGCGCTTGCGGCTTGCGTTAGTATCGTGATGATCATATCGACTTTGTTGGCTTTCTAATAAAATTTATATAGTCATAACAATCGGACTTTTTTGTGACTATTAGTCTGCTAGACCCAGCTTAGCTCAAGCAATTACTGTGTGAGATGTTAGGCTCTTGGCGATTACGTCTATATCGCCATTACGCGAAAAGCGTAAAATTTCTAAAGCACAGGTAGCACGCACTACATTCTGATTGTATTACTTGTAGTAGTAGAATAGGACCGCTCCTCTCTACTACGAAGTACATATTTATATAACTAAATACATATTATATTATAGGCCACTCTAATATCAACCAGTCGGTGTGCGGTACTTCAGTGTTATATTTTAGGTGGAGTAGTTGCTTGAGAGGAAGCAAGTGTTTCATAAATCCCTTTTAAAAAAAAATAATATTAGTAGTATTTGTTGCGGGCATACATACGTCGTGTTATTTATCGACCCAACGACAAATAGCTTTGTCTTTCCCTTCTTGTTGATCATGGCACGGGGGCTGTGCTCGTTAGGAGTTATGCACACACACATCAAAAATGCGCTATACATAATTATAGAACATAAACGTGCCTTCAATGATGACCAGTTATCGATTTCAAAGTGGACAAAACTGTCGTCTATTTGTCAAATTATGACAAATAGGGTCGTGTTGAATTTTTCAGGCTTTCAACATTTTAGATTTGCTCTCGACATCTATTAATTACGAACTACTTTTAGGGAAAGATTAGCACTATTAGATATATTATGCATAAATATTTATCAAGAGAACTATACTTTATTTAGATTTATTTTTAACACGTCCAATATTACTCAATCAAATAACCGTGTATGTATGTGGTAGTCAAAAACTTTATAATAACAAGTGAATGGCACAACATCGGGAATTTTTCTATCTAAAATCGTTACCGTCATATGAGTCAAACGAATCTAAGATTCGCCTTTTAAATCAATAGAAGAAGTCTAAGCTGATTTGAGAGATTTTTCCATACGCCCTAAACATAGTACTAGGTGGCGACGAGCAGCAGCGTCATGTGGATTTTCCGTGCGTATGGGGCATTCACATGTAGCATAAGGTTCACAGAAACCTAACTTTCTGCGGGTTCTGTGGTGAAACGACACCTGAGCGAGAAATGACATATCATATACCCAATTCTGTTCCAGTTCTATACTCATTATATCGTAGCCATGCCCTAGTACCAGTACTCCTGTGAGGAAAAAAAACTAACGAGATTTAGTTGTTCGAAATTCTACAGTACTTTAAGATTTGACCATCTGACGTGTATCCCATACCGTGCGATTTGGTCGCCCATGCCGCCGATACTGTCTTCCTGCATTTTTCGATGACATGTACAGTGAAACTTTTGTTGTTCACGGAGACGACCAACTCCAAGTTTGAAAACCCGTTTTATAAGAGGCGACCCGGCAAAATACAAGGTGTAGGTGCCACTGTCTCCTTTTCTGAACGTCATCGCTTACAGCTTGGTCAGATTCAGGGTCAGTCAGGCCCTAAATCTGCGACTGCCGCATAGAGCCGGACTAGTCTTGCCACACTTTAAACAAGTTCGACCCTTTCATCACTAAGTCGTCTGCATAACGGATGACTTCGACTGATTTGCTCGGCCCTCTTATTTGATTAGGGAGGCCCCTCAGCAAGATGTAGAATAACGGTGCGACAAGTTATGTCTCTAAGCCGGGTCCGTTGTCTGTGTAAAGGGCGGGAGTTCGGTCACTCCGTCGTCGATAGTCATTCTGTTCTTTGGTACAATCGCAGCGAGAGGGTTGAGCACATTCATAGAGACGTATACTTCGTGAGCATAACTTTGCCCCTAGGCGCCGAGTCGGAAGTTGTTTTGAAGTCGACGAACACCGCATATAGCACGTTGCGTGGCGTCGCCGATGCTCTTTTGACGTCGACTACCAGGATTCTACATGTCGTTTCTGTGGAATGTACTTGTCGAAACCTACGTCGCTGCGTTGGGATAGCGTGAACGCTTCGTAGGTAGTTGTTCAGTCTCTTAGCCAGCAAGCCGGAGAGTAGCTCTTTTTTTCGTTATTTTTCCACCGTGACGACGGCGTGGTTGGGTAGTTTTTTTTCGTTTTGTATCGGTATATAAACGTTCATTCAATAGAGCTGACCAATGCCAGAACGATGATGCATTTGAGATGCTCGCAGCGGATCCTATCTGGACCGGCAGCTTTCTTACTGCATAGATTCGCAAGAACTCGCATTACTTGCTACCCTGGGGGATGTTGCGTTGTATTGAGATCCCCTCTTCCCAATCTACGGCTAGAAAAAATACCGCGTGTGATATCGTGGAATATCTTGAAAGAGACATCTCCAAGGAGTGATATATGAGAAACGAGTAGCCACTCGGGTGAGTCGGCGAGCTGCAGTGGCGTGTTAACCATTTAAGTGATTGACGTTCTACATCGGGAATTAAAGGGGTCTCCGGCCGTTCCGGGTATTGTCGCCTTGGTGATGCGTACGTTCTTCGGCAGATCGTCTTAAAAGAAAGGCTAAATTCGGGTACAACTCGGGCCGTATTTCGGCTATATATTTCGAGACTATCGGGGCTCCGGATAAGACTGCGGGAATAATTGAGCAACGGCTTGTATTTCCCAGGGGCCACGAGAAGGCTGTACTATAAGCTGAAGAATTTCAGTCAGACTTTAGTTCAGAAGTTTTGGTATTTACCACATTAAGAGCAGGGAGAACCTTGTGGCTGCATTCTAGCAACCTGTCCACAAGCTTGCGATTGACGATGCCGCGTAAAAGAGCCTCGACCGTTAAGGCGGTGGAAGGTCGTGGCCGTAGTTCGACTCAATGCTGCCGTTACACCGTCCACTCTTGACGCTGTGATATGGAGCGCGGGAGAAGCGTGAATTCTGCACTATCTTGATTCGCTTTTTTTTCGCAATAATACCGTTTACCGCTTTGCAGCCCTGTTGTAGTTGAAGAGGGAAACAGAGGCTACACAAATTTCTTAGGAGGGACGCGAGGAAAACTAAATTTTCCTCCGAAGAACTTTCCCTATATCTGTCCCTTTGGGTCCCATTCAGGCATGTTAACCAATCCGTGAAAATACGGTAACTCGCATATATTGTTACTGTTAATATGCTTCTTTGCCTTTATGACAATGTTCACTTTCAGCGCCGCACGAATAATTACTGATGAGTGTGATTCAACATCCGCTAGCCAGGGTAATGATGATTATAGAAATCACAAATTACCATGTCACCATAAATTAAGCTTCTGTCACATTTAATAGAAAATCGTTGCAGCGCTGAACTTTTTTTCGTTGGCGAACTCTGGAAATCTTCTGCATCGAAAAAAAACAAACAAACAAACAAACAAAATCAACTGCATTCGACACTCTTACGTATGCTTTACCTCGCTCGTTTAGCACTTGTGATTCTGTCGGGCTGAGTACGAAAGAGGAGATTCGAACGATCCTATTTTGTACATTGAACCGTTCGCAATAATGGGCAGGCTTGAACAGTTGCGTCACTAGAGCAGTTGTACCCCACTGTTCACTCATTTCAGGCCAGCCAGCCAGCCAGCCAGCCAGCCTACTACTCGAAGCGGTAGTACCAAAAACTGCTGCCAAAATCCATTTGGTGGCAGCGAGCTGCAGAGCGTTCCTTATATCACCAAAGTCAGATAGGCAACTATAATACCTAAACTCATGGGCATGTATTTCTGGCAAGAAATCGAGAAGGCCATTTATGGCTGTGGCCTTTGTCGTCGTCGAGACGTTTCTTCGAAGAAGGTCACTCCACCGGCAGTAATATGAACAGCTGCAGCAGCAGCAACAGTCACTGGCTATTTTTTTCTCCTCTTTTGATGATCCTCTTAGTTCGCTCGAAGATTCCATGTAGAACAAAGCATTGGCTTCACTGTTCATTCACTGACGCGTTATTCTTCTTCGCTGACTGCCCTTCAGCCAAAAAAATCGGGTACTTACAGTTTAGCTTCAATGCAGCCAGCATTTACACTGGTACATAAACCCACAGATCGAAAGGAAAATCGATGCGTCTCCGAGAATTTTTTCCTACCTAGGTTTATTTGAAAGTCCTATGCTTACTAGCAAGGTACACAGACGTTACACACAACAGTGTTTGAAGTAGGCCCACGTACAACCTCGATCACATCCAGCACTCGAGCCTGTCGCGTTTGGGTATGACCTAAACGTGTCATGTGAAGCAAAACGCAAAAGGAGTGATACTTATGAAAACGTGTGCAGTCGAATTAGCAACACTTGCTTTGTCGAAAACAATATCTAATTCTTGGTCGATCAGCGCGTCACTGGCTCTTTATCTCAACAGATGCTGTTCCAGCACGTATGCTAAGGAACAACGGTGAATTTGCTACGGCCTTCGTGCAAGCATTCCTATTTCTGCAGATAGTTGTTCAACTATCGCTCATTGGGAGTGTTAGTGAATTTCCTTTTGGCAATTTCCGAAACGACAAAAAGAAAAGCTCAGGCCTTGTCGAGCTACCGTTTTATCGCCATGCACCATGCAGCATTTCCACTATGCGGCAGCGAAAGCCTTTTTTTTTCAGATTTAATAACACCTGTCAACGCTTATCAGGACACATTTGAATGGTGGCGAAACTTCTATGGGTTTATACGCTCATTTGATTCTTCTCAGCTGACAACTGCAGACCAAGGCTCATTGTAGCCATTAAACGGCTGCGAGAGTTTTGTTTGAACCCTAGATTAAGTCAGCTAGTTTCTATAGTTATGTCTGTCTTCTGTTACTACATATTTAGGACAAATGACGAGTGAACAGAAAATTACGCATTACGTTTTTCTCTAGCATTACGAAGAAGCAAGGAGTTAGATTTCGCTGACATTTACTCACAGCTAGAACTTGTGATGAGCCAGGGTGGTTTCTATTCGTTTACTAAAACATGTGTAATACGCATTTAGTAGAAAACCTCTTATGAATGCATATAGTGACCAACATACTTAAGTACTCTAAGGCTTATTGCAAAGTAAGAAAACTTAGATTTATAATTAGGTAGTAATTATAATATATCTCGTTATTGTCATTATTGGAGGAGCTTAATGTCGTCCGCATAACCGCTCTGCGCTAGGCCTATTTTCTAGACATTAGGTAAGTATGCCGTTGCTTACTTGTATAGGTTTTTGAAGCAGTGAGACAAGCAGCGATGTTCAACAGGACCGTTGTGAGGAAAAAGCCTTTCTGCCTAGCTTTTATCATTGACGTGTTGGGTGTTGTTACCATTGATGTGTGTGATATCGATGATCGTGCATCGATGTTATCTGTTTTTACCTTTGCAGTCAATTTTTAAAACGGCTGACAAATGAGTGTTCTCGTCGACTACTCACTGGGCAACGTCCAGGAAGTTACGCTGTCGCAGTAGCAGAATGTTTTCTTTCGCACTTTGCACCTTCAGGACAAGTGGAAACTGAAGGCTCGATAGGTGCAGTGGCACTAAATGGCGTTCCCAGAACCAATTCCTCTCTTGCGGACAATTCAGCAGCAGCTACAGGTGGCGTGAAGGTATATGCGCATTATTGCACAAACTACCCCCGAAGTCTACAAGTTCTCAGTCGGCTCGTTCAACCCGAGTCACGGTCTTGTGCGCTCCTTGCAAAACTTCAGCTTGGACTTGGACATCGCATGCAGCTTGGGTCATACCTTCTTAAGCCCGTCCAGAGAATTCTCAAGGTATTCGTTCAACTAAAATATTATTATGTTAGATATAATTAAATAGTATTATGAAGGAGCATAAAGCAGCGGCGAGCTTGGCCGCAATCGAAACTAAGAACGAAGTCAAAGAGCCACTTTTGAGGAGCCATGTCGAAGGATGATGCTAGCTATATTAACTTCAATCTATATTCGAAATTAACCACTTAATACTCGACGACGCTTGTTGTATTTCGTATTACAATAGTATGTACTTCGGATTTTCAGTATCCGCTTCTACTGGACGCAATGAGACACTATGAGAAGGATTACCCCGGGTGGCCTGGTCAAGAGCTCATCGAACGAGCACTGAGAGCGATGCAAAGAATCGCTAACCGAATCAACGAAATCAAAAAGGTCCATGTTAGACACAAGCAAGTGTTAGGTCGTGTTTACCACGTTAATTCCACTTGAATCATCGCCTGAGTTCTATGTTACACTGTCTTCTAGTTTCATTGGTTCCGTATAGAGTATAACATTGGGATTATTTCTGCTTGTATGAACTCCGTTTTCGGTATTTTGACATAGTTGGATGAAGATGCGGTTCGTGTACAGGAAGTACAAAGCTTTTTGCAAGGCTGGACAGGGAACGACCTTACAACTTACGGAGGACTCGTTGCCGAGGAGAGGGTTATGTAAGTAGCATGTTGTAAATGAAAAGGAAATACGGCAACGGAGTATAAGCGGTCGTACTCTTTTTCTCAATAACTATGCGTAGCGCAAGGGCTACGGGGTTCACAGCCTTTACCAGTAATGTAGGATAATTTTACACACTGCGTAACCTAAACGACTCATCACATTTCTGTATTCTACCTGTTTTTCTGCATCGGTGGTCTTAGGTGTCAAAAGAAGCATTTAATGCATATCTTTCTTTTCGAGAAAATGCTACTCATCACAAAACGCAAGCGCAAGACCCCCAATTTGTTGTGGTACGCACAGCATATCTTCACCAACGACCTCATGGTGAACGAAAACAGGGTTATCATGGGTGACTGCTCGTTCCAGGTACGAATAGCAATCAATTAGCCACATCGTGCATTTTTTTCTGTGAAAAATTAAATTTTTACAATTTATGGCCAAACGTTTACGTAGCTAATCTTATTATTCCATTAACGTGGCGTCGTTCTTCGAAAATGGTAGTCGTGAGCTGCGTGATGTAAATAGCTCTAGATAATGGACCGGCATATAGGGCTTTTTAAAAAATAATGCATATAATTTATTATTATTAACCTTGAAATGACACAACGGGAGACGCGTTCATTGAAAGCTAAGTATTGATTTTTTCCACTGTGACAATCTGTAGGTGCTTTCAAAGAGTAACCGAGCAATTACGTTCGTCTTCGAGACGACGGGACGGGAACGGAAAAAGCTCTGGTGTGATCGGCTGAACAAAATTATTTTGGAGTCTCTCAACATTTCGCCCGAGCAGCGTTCCAGAATTCTCGAGAACCTTCGTATGCAACGCAACCTTAGCAAACAGCAGCAGCAGCAGCAGCAGCAAAGTAAGATACACAAAAAGGCCTCCCGTGGCCTAGACTCGTTGAAGAAGGCGACAAACATATTGCACCGAAATCGAAGGGCTTCTATGGATAGCAACGGCATTTCGCAGCAGACGAAGAAGACAGACAGCATTGAAGTGACGAAACAAGCGGCCGTCCAGCAGACATCTCAGGATCTCCCGTTATCTGTTGGCTACACTGTACATACCTCTAGCCAGCATCCGCGTGTGCACGGACCGAGTAAAGAAGTTCACGAAGTACGTGCGCGCAGTAGAGGAGGACGCACCAGTTCAAAGTCATGGAAAAGCGGACTGTCGTTTCGGGTGCGCTACTATAATCAACAGAGAAGGTACCACAGCCAGATAGATCTTCGTGAAATTATTGCGTCTGTCGAAAGCCGAGCGTCCCCGGCCATGGGGTCAATGCAACGAAGCGCTTCAGTCCCTCGGTGGATGGACCTAGGAGCATTAGGTGCCCGGCTAGACGCCAGTAATGTAGGTAAAAGTCATGCATTCGCCGAAGCTTCAAGAGGTCGACAGTGGCAGCATATGCTATTCAATATGAGCAGCCGGTTACGTGCATCGCTGATGAGTTCGGATAGCGCATGCAGTAGTACTACGCATTCGACTGGCGATCATCGCTGCCGAGATCGATGCCCTTTACGGCCAGCATCAATGGACTCGGCGTTATTCTACGGCGCCAACTCTGACGGTTCTGAAGTTGAGGTCGGTGAAGAGGAAGAGCTCGAATCGAACAACAGTTCTGGATCATTTTACGAACGAAATTTTGAGATGTCGTGCCGTGACGAAATCTTTCGTGATTCTGCAATCTTTTCCGAGGACACCATATCGCAGCTCTCCACAGAAATAGCCGCCTGTCAGCGAGACAGAAATGTATCGTTAGCCCAAAAGGACGATGGCGCTAAGCTCGGTTCTATTGAGCGGACGGAAAGCGGATTTACTGAAGAGGATGATGCGGGTGATCAAAAAACGGTTGATAAAAGCCAAAAGGTTAAGTAGCTCGTAAAAAAGCGTTAGGTTCTTTGTAATTTTATGAATAGACCCACTCGGTTGACTAGAGCACGATGAGGATCACGGGCAGTTCTACAGTACATGTTTACATAACCATATACAGTAACATGCAGAAACACTTAAAAAAAATGAGCTTTACCGCAGCTATTTTTCTAATTCATTCAGCCGTGTCTGAATATATTTCGTCGAATGTCATTTAGGAGAGTCTTGTGTGTGTGCCAAATAACAACGGAAACCATTGTTCCGCAAATTGTCTAACGTACAACAAGGCATGCAGATACTATTTTGAGGAAATTTCTCTGGGTTCCTGAGTCTGAATGCAAGTTTGCCTCTTTAGCTAGCCCAGAGCAAATATTTGAAACACGTAATTGAGGCTGTTGCCCAGTGCAAACATAACATCTAACGCGTTCGGATTCAGGAAACCTCCGACAAACTGTATGCGATTAGACGCTACTTTTAAGGCTTTTCGATAAAAGTCAAGGGCTACGGCAGTTAGATCAACTCACATAGTTGTCACATATCGTAGGGATTGTTCGGCCATCTACGGAAATTTGTTAGTGAATTGTTAAGTTAAATACCCTCTCGGCGTTTGCCCATTTGTCTGTTTCGGTATCACGCGTTTTGAACATTTGGGTCTATTGTCCTCTGACGCTTTGCCCTGGTCAAACCGCATTATTGAAGAGGACAGCAGGCAGCCTCAGTCCCGAACGTGATGATTGATGCATGAGTGAAACGTACGATTAATGACTATAGTTAATTCATGGCTGGAAACCATTCAGGGTGTGCTTGTTACCCGTTTGTCAAACAAAGTATCATGTGTGAATGATGTAAACATAAAGTAAATAGTTCCTTCTAGAGATGAAAGGTAGCTATTGAATTTGGAAACATTGCCTTTTCAAAGTCAATCATTTGGGCAGTATACGTATTGCTTGAGGATTAATCGTGAATTGATAGTACTTGCTCGTGTGAGATTGTTGTATTGATCAAAAAAGGCGTTGAAAGAATGAGCAAGATGTAATATTATTGTCAGTCACTCTCGTTCATGACTGTTGTCGACGCAAGACCTAGCTGGAAATCTGCCTGTCTGTATCTGTAATGAATCAACATGGCGGATAGCGGCGATATGCAGATATGTACAGAGCTAACGCGGCAAAATGGCTCAAGATTTGAACCGTGAAAAAAGCCAAAAGCTGAAATAGTCGATACGAATAAGCCTCATGTATGTGGGCAGCGTATTATAATGGTGATCGATTGTCCCGTTTATTCTCACTATCCACAATTGCGTATCACAGGTTCAACTGCTATTACGTGGCTTAAACGCATCAAGTAGCACAAGTTTAAAATCATAGTTGTTAAAACAAATACCTCTGGATTAATCTGTAGTTTTTGTTTTTTTTTTTTTTTTTTTTTTTTTTTATACATTAGGTCTGAGAATATCCGATAAAGCCAAATGTTGTTGTTGTTCTTCTTCTTTGGGTATGGCTTGTTTACAGATCTTGGCATTGTGTTCACTAATGCCACCTACATACGAGTAAACGGCGAACGTTTCTGTGTAGTAAATCTAAAATCATGATTACAATGTATTTAATGTAAAAAGGAAGGATGTTTTCATTATTTTTATTACAGAATAGCAAAGGCAACCTTACAAGCGTATATATATATATATATATATATATATATATATATATATATGGAATGAAAAAATAATAAAGATAGAGATAGAAGTATTTATGGCGATTTAAAAGCAATGTTGGATGAAACGCACAGCATTCGTCACGCCCCATGAAAGGTACAAAAGCTCATGGTTGAGCGTGACAGAATTACAAGACTAATGACGGCTGCATTTTTTTTTACTTCATTCTACCTAGTAGATAAACGAAAATAGCGGGTGTTCATGCAGACCCTAAACTTCCATTTGATGTTAGTCACTGTAATCGTTTGCTCTATAGCTTCCCTCTGGCGGATGTGTAATCCTAAGGCGTCGAGTGCTCTATAGTCGTGTTTCCAGTTCTTTCTCTACCTTTCCTTTTACTAACAAAGAGGTGCTATGTGGACCTATGAAGTTCCTATCGACAGTTCTAAGGCGGAGTATAAACAGGTTGCCCGCTTGTCAATTGCAAACAATGGAAAAGAGCATAGAACAACATATCATCACGAGTTCTTGCGACCTATAAAGGTCGCCATCACTCCTACACAACGCTTGAACCAGTTGTGGATCTAAGAGTGCACTGGGTGCGAATCGCTACCATTATATAATGCATTGAAGCGTACCTAAATACTAGCAAACGTGTTGTTGTCTTAAATTCGAAACTTAAGCAGCGGCTCTTGGTTACCGATAGACAAATTATGCGTACGACATCGTTTTTCTTTATTTAAGTACCTAATTCTAAAACGTTTAATACTATTTGTAAGCGAAGTACAGACGATGAAAAAAACGAAACATATGTAACCCATCAGGAACGACCACTATTTCCTCCCAACAGGAATTCAGGCGTCGCAGCCCCAATGAACAGATGAAGCTCTAAGGCGATAATGACAACATCAAACATTTTATATAAGAAAACTTCGTTCACGGTGCTTGCATCTAAAGTATATACACATTTATGTACAAACATGTAGAGATTTTATGATACTAATTGGATGATACTGTTAAACTATCTATTTATAAAAACAAATCGATATTTGAGTATAAGCTATGTGATTAATAAATGGTATAAAATAGCCGTATACGATATTTTTTTTTAGGCCTTCATGGCTTCGGGTATAAATACACTTATATCTAGCCTACATCAAAGGTTGTAGACATTGTGCTGCCCTAAAGCTTTAAATAGTAACTCGCATGTATAGGCTTGGTTATGTTTTGATTACATTCGCTCTGCTTCCCGTATATCCAATATCAATCGGATCGACGCACTTCTATATAGCGTCACTTTTATACATTGTATTATTAAGTCGATCGGAAATTTGTAAGTGTTGCACAGCTCTCAAGATAAGCTAGTTCATGCCGGTTTTCGGTGCAGTCAGAACGTGAAGTTTTGAATATCCAACAACGCGCTCTTCACTACAATCTCTCACGAAAAATGCACCCATGCATGAGGTCTCTATCTATGAGAGATGGGGAGTATTAGATACGTTTGCCGAAACTGGTTTCAATGCATTGGAGATGAAAACCAGCATTTAAGCCTTAAACCACGCTTCGTATGGCCACAGGAAGTGGGTAATGGTAAAGTAGATGAAAATTTGGCTTGATCCTCATAAGAGCTCTCTGCAGAGCTGTGCATTAACTGTCTTGCATGACCCATACACACAAGGGAATAGTTTGAAGATAGAAACGGTGTATGCCACGTAAACCCATTGAAAACGGTACTATCGACTTTTTGTAACATCGATTGAAAGTAATTTCTGCACAAATTCTACTTCGAAAATTCAAAAGGCTCTTTTTGCGGAACTCTTGTTAAAACGGGATAGCTAAATCACTAGGCAATGTTCTCAACGAGGTCTAAAAAGACTGCTCAACCATGAGCAACTTTCTACTAAATGAAGCCGGGCGGCAAGTCAATCCCTAGTTAGAATCACACCTAGTTAGGAAAGTAGCAAGGAAAAGCCTTAGGCAGACGAAGCACGTTGCAAGCTGGCTATGTCGTATGACGACAACAGGGAAACTCGGACAAACCATGAAAGGGGAATTCTTTTTTGCCTGACTTATAACCCAAACCTTGCTTCATCGGCTCAATTGTTTCTAGTTAGGCAGCAAACCCGGCAAAGGGTCTATAAATGGATCGCTTTCGTGGCTACTTTCTTCTGCGTCAAGCGGTCTGCCTGACATCATATCAATAGTGGCAAGCCAGCGAAAGCCCAACCTCAAATAACTTTAATAAGAACAACTAGTCTCTTCCAAAAGTTGCTTGTGTTTAAAGCAAGCCCCAAAAAAGAGACTTCTTTTTGCTTGATTCAACAAATGCCTCAAAGTGAGTCGCAGTATAAGTTGCTGCTACATGGACAAAACGATAAACATAATCAAGTAAGTTAGTACAAGTTAGCATTTAACGTCGAAGGAACTTTTTTTTCTTTTTTTATTACTTTATTTTGTTAAGTGTACCATTCGGTTGGTGTCTGTTCCTCAGTTTTGATTAAAACACAGGTAGGATTAGGCCGTCAGTACACAATTGGTAGTGTGACCCTGTCAAATGTATCTAGAAAGGCATAGATATATAATGCCTTAAGATATTTAGCGGGCCGAAGAATTTGAGCACTTTTTAAATTATGCACCGTTAATAAACGACATTCAGCAAATATTTATATAATGTGTCTTTTTTTTTTGTGATTTAGGACATCAAACTCAGGGAGTAATAGGTTTAAGGGTAAGGATATTGCTTTGTGGTGGAAATTAATGCACAATAATAAAGCTTCTGCTTTTCGAAAATGAAAGCACTAATGGAATCCGTCAAAGATTCGTGAAGACTCAGGGAAACGAACAGTTTGTTACTGATATAACGAGATCAATAGCGAACCCTTGGAAGTTAGAGAAGATGACTACACGTCGGGATTTTGGGCAAAAAAACACATTGTTATAATCACGGAAGCTTTTCTGCAGAACAGAACATGGATGATGCACTTCTGTCGGCAAAATATAAGATTTTTCAAAACGCGCGACGAAATCAGTGATGTCAAAAAAACAAGCGAAATATAAGTTCCCCGTAAACTAGCCTCAGGACAGACGAACACACGTACAAGCGATTTACACAACTGTTGTCAGCAAAAACCCGGTCTAAACAAGTACCGTTGCTTTAAACAAAAGGGTTTCGTAAGAGAATACCATTGTGCTATTATACGGTATGGGGCAAGCAGGCGAACCAGATGGGAATTGTAATAGCCCCCTGACTCGACGGTCAATGGTATAGCAATGGGGCGCCGGTTTAGATGAGATTAGATCCAAACAGTTGACACAAGCGCTCGTGTTAGCTCCATGTTGGACTGCTTGCGGGATGGGAGAATATGGCCTATGGTAGAAAGGCTTTCTCATTGCTATCCCGAAAGACAAAGGCGACTTCCTAGTATCGAGATAGTGAAGGAAAATTGCTGTAGAGAGCTGCAGCGGCAACGTACTTCCAGTTATATACTTCACGGGTCTCTCTCCACTTTCTTGTAAGCTCGATGTATGATCTCAGTAAAACAACACAGGTTCCGTAGAAAAGAGTTAACAGCGACTGCTTGCCTAACATCGTTTGCCACGGTAAAATTTGTAATATATAGCACGATCGCTAAACAGGTAACCTCTATTGTATCCGTCGACTTTGACAGAGCACTGAGAACTTTGTTGAAGTTTGTCGAGGCAGGAATCTTCCAGAACCTAGTCCAGTTCATTGTTTCAATCTTGCACGGGAGCCCCTAAACGTTGCAAAATGATGTGACGGAACTGGGCCTCTTTCAGCAGCCGACAAAAGTGATTCGAGGCAACAACTTCAGCGTTCTACCTTCCTCAGTTATCTTTAACGATCTTCCAAGCATAATAGTCGGTAAACGAAGGTATGAGGTCAGATGTTCTACTCTACGCCGTGATCTTGGGATACACGGGACAAGTTGCTTTGAGGTTCAGCAGACATTGGCCCACTTCTAGGAGTTCATAACAAATGCCAGCCTGGAAATCAACTTAGACAAGTCAGTACAATTGAGTTCTGAAAAGCAGGGCCACCAGCAGCAGCAAACGACACTCTTTCGTTGTACTCATCGCCACCTTAACATGTAAAGCATTTTTGCTGTCTAGGCCTGGCTTTATCATACTTCAAGATCTGCTCCATCCTGGTAGCAAGTATTGTCATAAAGAAGTTATTGCTTCTCTCATTGAATATGACGATACGCTATTTCAATTCCAAGTCTGCCCCAACGACCCATGTAAATCGTTTGTGAAAACCTTAGCGCAGTCCAATTCGGTCAGGCCGTGTGTACTTTTTCCGAAAGAACACTAAGTCTGCGTACATACTAACGCGACCGTTACGTGTACTTGCTAGGGGATACATTCTTTTTTATTGAGAACATCCAACATTATTGCGATTTACATATATATATATATATATATATATATATATATATATATATATATATATATATATATTACTAAAATTTATCCGACAACAGGAGAAACGAATGATCGAAGCCGACCCAAAGTTGTTTACTAGTGGCGCCATAGCGGACAGAACATAAAAGGAGCCATGTAATAGTCTACGTCTACAGTATATGCCTTCCACGATGTTGTGTGTGCTAATGAACCGTACCATGAGCTAGAGGCAAACTGCACCTGCGTACACTGCAGAGGTCGCTATCAGTGCGCCTAGCAAGGCTTGTGTCTAGGGATGCCTTCCTTGAATAGCAAGGCGCAAAGAAGGACAATAGTAGCGCTTTAGGAATCTTAGGAATATCTGACATTGTCCATGTACAACAAAGCTGACAACGCATAACAACGCCGAAATCCAGCTTGCCAAAGGGCCGGGCCAGTTAATTTACACGAGTTCCATGATTCGGTTTCGTTTTCTAAAGAATTTCGATTTATATA